AACACAACAATGAAAATGCTCCTTCATCTGCATATATCATAATAGTAATGGTTCACAGGCTGATGCGTCTATGAGAAGTTTACCAAGACTGTTCAGCAGATGTCTTTATTTTGTTTAAATCATGACTGATGAAAGGAGATGAAGTGGAATAAAATAATTTCATGTAAGCTTGTTAAAAAATATATATTCTCTAGGACTGGCAAGAGAAAAGGTGGAATCCTGTTAATTGAAATATTTAAATATAAGAAAGAACACTTACTACCCTATTAATGTTGGTGTAGTCTTAGATAATTTCACTCTCATGCCCTGTTGATCTTTTTTTGCTAGGTTGGTGAAAAAGATTTAAAAAAACAACAACTAGATTTAAAAGAATATAAATTAAGGTGTTAGCTCTTCTAAATGGAAGAATATTTCGGTAAAGTGAGACTTAAGAAATGAATTTGACTGTACATGTCTTTTTATTTCTGGGGTAATCAGAAATGAAATGCTTCGTATGCTACATACCATGGTTCTATGTGTATTTAGTGCAAAATGGGACCAAACCCTTCTTTAATCAACGTGGTTATGCTTTTTGCAAGCGTTTGAATGTTATCTTTAACCGAAATGATCTTCAGTGAGATTTACCAGTTAACAGAAAAAAGTAGAATTAAAAAGAAAAAATTTTAACGAGATACAATTTGGAGTCCTGCTTTCCACGTGGCACGCCCAATTTGGTGATCCACATTTTGAATAATTGCAATGCTTATGAAAAAATGTGTTCTGTTCTCTCAGCTCTTTTGTGAGCTGGGAGAGGAAGCGCCAGCACTCAGTATGGCTTCTGTGGGCCTGTGATTATAAACTGTACTTTGTTAAAAGTGCTCAAAGTTCAGATTTGTAGGAAGTCAGTAGATGGCCAAGGAATGGCGAGTGAGGCAGAACGATTCTTGTGGATCTATGCATGGAATAGCAGGTACTCTCAAAATGGCTTTTTAAAGCAGTATTAAATTGAGATTTAAGGGTAGAGGTGGAACACATTAAAATATGGCATTTAAAAAGTATATCTTTTCATCTTCATTTAAAAAGAAATAAAACTTCAGGGCCTGACAGTTTCACTATGAAATGCCTTCATAGAACAGTTAATCCAGGCCCCTGTAATCCAGCGCGTGGACAAAGGCAAAATGTTATCCCCACCATTTAATGATCATGCTAAATTGTGATTCTAACATACTCAGACAAAGCACAAAATATGAGCTAATGTTCTCATAACTGAGTTCATAAAACCCTAATCCTCTGAGATACTCTGTCGAAACTAGAAACTTTAGCTGATACGTTTGGTTAATCTTATAAAAATGCTTCTCTCGAAGCTGTAATAAACATTTACTCATGAAAAGGGTCTGAAAAGTCTTTTGCTAAATGAAAGATGCTTAACCCAGAGTTGCCAGATACATGTGAGTGTCGAAACTTGTGTCTGGTTAACATCTTCTGCCAAATTGGCTTTTTAAAGAACATACATTGAGATATAGAGCTAGACCGAGAACTCTTTAAAAAGATGGATCTAAAAACCCTATAGTGACAAACTGCCAATTAAAATCAAAAGCATGTATTCATTAAAAACAAACCAAATATCAAACTGGCAGAAGGCTACTTTAAGAAATATTGATTACCTCAAAGGTAGATAGAATTGGAATTATATTAATAGCTTCTCATTTATATCGTTATTATTTGTCTTGTAATAAGTGCATATTACTATATTTTTGGAATTGAAAATATTAGAACTGCACCAAAATTATCACCCAGTAGTATTTACTCAAGGAGTATAAAACTGCTACATTATATGTACACATGTATTAATAAAATATATTATCGCAATGGATTTTCTGTGCAATGCCTTATAGGAATGATAGATTCAATATATCTAAAAATTAAATAATTCCTACTGCTCTCCACCTGCAAAATTTTCCTAATGTTCCTTACCTTATGTCTTTATTATTTGTTACCTTTATCCCGATATCCATAGGTCACATTAGACGGTCAACAAATATTGGTTGAAAACCACATAAAACATTATACCGCTGAAGAGCTGTGCTTGTTTCCTGTGGTTCTAGTTACATAGTCAATCTCTTATCATGATTGATTATGGAAGTATTAGGCGATTAGAGGCCCCAAGGACATTTTTCTATGTTTCTGGTGTACGGTGGTGATAACCAAATTCTGAGCAAGTATTAAAGATATTTATTTCAGAGACTGGCACTTTGTCCTCTGGTCTGCATAATTAAACGCATGTCCACTTTGATTTAGAAAGACTTGCCAATGTACCATGCTGTGCAATCCCTAAAGGGTTTTTATTGTGTGGCAGCGATCTTTAAAATAGACAGTGTCGCAATGGGTATTCATATAAAGGTAATTACATTAAGGCAGAAATGACTGCATGAAATTGTTTTGAAAGTCCAGTTTAAGCTCAGCATTGTGAATACTGACCATGGTTTTAGAAAAATGTAAATATACGCACGGCAGGAATTCTCTGCTTCCCAACATGCACAGAATTTTTTTAAAAATGATATATTTAATCATCATAAAATAGAAAGTCCACAAGTTGCATAAAAATTAAATATTGATTTAAATGAAAACAATGAAGTCTGAGTGTATGTGTAAAATAATATAAAAAGAGAAAACTGTGTGGGAATTTTCCCCCCATATATTACTATTTTAACATTCAAATCTTAAAATATTACCATGTTAATGATATGCTCAGTAGTTACCTAGGTCAGTGAATTACATAAAGACGTGTATATGATATACATATATACAGTCTTTTATATAATCACAATGGAAATCCTTTCATTCAAGCCATCTCAGTGATAACCAGATCTTTTTAAAACAAGTCACTGGCCTGTTATTGACATTTCAGCCCAGAAATAGTGCTTAGTTTTTTTTTTTATCCCTACTGCATTACTAAGAATTAGTGGTCATTTTCCGTAAATGACGACAGTGACCCTCCAAAGGTCAGCTCCTATCAGCATGACAGCTCTTTGTAAACAGTTAAAGATCATGGGCTCCCATTACAGATTGCCTAAGTCTTCTTTTTGGATTCCTTCACGTTACCCATATTGTCACTTCCATAATGGCTGAGAGTTGCTGGTTTGAGAAGACTGGACAAGATAAAGGTGACCCATTAACTCTGGGTGACTTTCTGCTGTTGGCGAATCCATAGCAAATGGGGATAGATACCCTGTCTCCTCACCTCCACCCTTTCTCCATTGTCTCTGACTGTTGTCAAGAGTCCATTTACTGTTCTGTCAAGTCGAAAACAAAAATTTGTGATATTTTTGGGTATATATTGAGTCTTTCTATTTGACCCGTTTTTGTGCTTCTATTTCTCTTATGCTAGGGTTGGAATATAAATAACAAAGCTGCTACTGAATTCAGTGAGTGTTATTATGTGTTAGGCATTTTGCTGAGATTTAGTATATTTAGTTCTCATAACAGCCAAGTCAAGAAGTTAATATTACATTTAATTTTCAGTGGAGGAGCAGAAAGTTTAAAAAGCGTAAGTAATTTATCTAAGTTAGGGCTAATCAAGTTATAAGTTAAGTGTTTGATTATTAATCTATGGTTATTACTATTACTAGCAGTGCTATTAGAAAGTTGAGGTCAAAATCATTCACATTAGATTCCAGAAACATTTTGTGTAGACTAGAGTGTCATATTCAAATCTGCATCTCTAACATACAGCACAAAGCTTGGCACAAGTAAAACATCAATAAATGTACTTGTATGAACAAATGTGACTTTTCTAATCTTAGGTTCTCCATTTTCCATTATGAAATATTTAAGTAAAATTTTATAGCACCTATTGGTTTTATATCAAACAATTTTTTCTTATTTGAAATTTTTTAGTATTTTTACAATAGAGAAATTATAAGAAAATTATATTCATTTGCAAGTTACCATTGCAAACTCAATTACTACCAATGAATCTGAGTAACTTTCATGCCTATCAACTAAACAGAAAGTTAAATAGAACATGGTGTGATATTGGCTTATTTTTTTTTATCTTAAATTGCAGCAAATTATTTAATTTCAAATGTTTAGGAAGGGGGTACAGGATAATAAACAAAAAATTGTTACAATTATAATAGATATTCACTAAAATTAAGCATTTTAAGAAGCTTTTTAAAAATATATTACTGCCTAGTCACGAAACTATATTGAATTTAGTATTAAAATATTTAAAGATAACACAGTGTTTACTAATATCCACCAGCTATGAGTATATTTAAATTCTAGATTATTAAATTACTTTGCTACTTTCAAATCAGGATATATTTTAAATAGTTTAACTTGGTCTTTGACAGGAAAACATATCTCTTTTATGGCGAGGCAAAACGGGATATTTTGATTATGAATGTGCTGTATTTGAGCGCGTTCCTGGATTTAGTTTATCAGAAAATCTTTGCCCATCATTAAAATTCCTTCTGCGTACAGACACAAAATAATAATTAGCCAAAATTCATCAATTATGATCAGGGAGAGGAGGCAGTTTTATTTAATAATGGGTCCCAGGACATCTGTGAATGAAGTAAGATAACAATCTATATTAAAATGGATTGTAACCACTGAATAGCTTCAAATCCTTATATACCATGTTGTAGCATTCATAGTTCTAGGAAAAATAGCTAACACGTAAGTGAAATATTAACATTTATGCATGATGGAAATGAAGGGTACTTCAATGCTGAAACTATTTTAGCCTCGAGAATTCTATAATAAAGTAGCAATAAACTATCTGTGTATTTACCTATCCTGAAGGTGTTCTTTTTACTTCAAAATTATACTATGTCTGGAAAATGTACAAAAAAAAATCTTAAAATATGTTTTCCTAAGGAAATGAATTGTATAACACAAGATCCCAATTAATAAATGGCTACATGAACTGGGCTTTGCCATTCAGATGAATAAGCGATTAAAAATAATGTGCCCAATTTGAAAGTTTTAATTTTAATGCTCATTTCTGTCTTCAGCATTTGTGGAATCCAACATCTTGAACGAATAGGGAAGAAGTTGAATCTGTTTGACTCCCTTTACTTCTGCATCGTGACATTTTCCACCGTGGGCTTCGGCGATGTCACTCCCGAAACCTGGTCCTCCAAGCTCTTTGTTGTTGTTATGATCTGTGTTGCTCTCGTGGTCCTACCCATACAGGTAAACATCACCACGTTTTTAGAGAAATGGGTGAGGTCTTAGAAAACCAACTCCTCCACATGCAGGGTGGTTTACTGATCGACTGTATTAGCACATGCTTATTATTATTTGTAGCCAACTAATTAAAATTGTCTCAGAAATACCTTTTTACATCATATTAGAAACTGAGAATTTTTTTTCCCCTTTACTCAATGGGTAGCTCACATCTCATGTCAATTCTTCAAGGTGTATCTTCTAAATGTAGGATATTTAACTATAATAATGACAGGATGATAGGATAATACAGTTTTTAATTATAGAACAATACAGCAAGGAAATAAACTTGGTTTATTTCTCTCGATTCTTGAAATCATCCAAAAGCCAAACTTTGTAATGAACAAAAACTGATATTGGTCAACTAAAATAAAATCTGAAGATGATACGTAACTGTTATGCAGCATTTTGGGGAATGGATACGTGGTTGCAGAGACAGAAATATACAATGAGACTAAAGATAAATAGAGGCAATCTCCCCTTCTTTCTTACAATGAGCTTTGGGTGTCCACAGGTGGGCATCCCGCCATATACATCAAACTTATATATTCTATTACAGACTTTGGCCACAGTGTCTCTAAATGTATGTTATGTAGGTATAAAAATGGTCTTCCCAACCTGTCCAATGCAGCATGTCTTCCTTCCTGACATCCCATCCCTATACCCTCCACTTCCCTAACGTACCAGCTAGAATGTGGCATTGTGTGTTGTGGGAATGGTGTCTTACTGCATGAGATACAGGATGAACTTGACCAAAAACATGGGAGAAATGCCAGTGAGGCTTTTCTCTTCGACTCAGCGCATGACATATCATGGCTGCATACTCTCCCGGACATAAAGCAGATGCGCAAACCTCTTAGTGCCCTGTTGCGATATAATAGGAAAATATACTAATATGTTTCCTTAGAGACCTGGAGCCTCTGGGAGGCATTAGTGACCTCTGCAGCAATCACATGAAAAGTCGATTGCTGAAGGGAACACTGATAATTTGGAACTCAATGAGGTCCATCTAAGAAACTGAGTACACCTAATAAACACCAGATGGATTGCACTGATTTTTATTTTCCTGTCCAGTGTTTTTCATTCATATGTGAAAAATGCATTACAGTTTGAACAGATGGCCTATCTGTGGATGGAGAGACAAAAATCAGGTGGAAATTATAGTCGACACAGAGCTCAAACCGAAAAGCACGTTGTTCTGTGTGTCAGCTCACTGAAGATTGACTTACTTATGGACTTTTTAAACGAATTCTATGCTCACCCAAGACTGCAGGTACTCTTATTATATTATGCATTATACTGGAACCTCCATACTAACATTCTATCAAGGTCAATTAACCGAGGGTGCATCCTGCCTTCCACAGGGCTTTTATTTATATGCTCAAATTGAAGTGTAAACGAAGTATTACAAATAGAACCAGGAACACAGAACAAATGCTGAAGAAGGAATACACAGTATTTCAAGTTTCCTTCTGTATCTACACTTAAAAGACAGATGGAATTCTGTCAAGCTACAAAGAAAGTTTTTCTTTGAATTAAAATGATTGCTTTTTTCTCCCTTGGGTAATGCATAAATGATATTTTTATGAAACAGTGGATGTGAATATAAGCTATAATAAAACAAAGAAAGGATCATTTCAATATCATCTGCTCACTTGACTCCTTCAGTTTTATCAAGTATTGCTGATAGAAATGTGCAAGTTTGCAAGTTCTAGTTTTTTTTCTGTTTCCTGGAGTGTAACTAGGTCCTATTTATGCAGCTATTAATTGACCCAAAATGACAATAACCAGCTGAATAAAGAGCATGAATTCAGAAAAGTTTCTTCATCTGTCTACGCAGATAACGTGCTCAGACACTTCTAATACTTGCCATGATGCTGGGACAATGTAGAATTGGGTAATCTCTTTACTTAATGTGTTGGCTTAGCCTACACAGCAGAGAGCTACTTGGGTTTCTTGCTTGTCCCTGATAAATGTGTATCAAGAGATTGGACAATCCTGAGGTCAGGACTGTACTGAGTATATCTAATTATATCTCCCTTGAACAAAGAGATTTGTTGCATGAATACTTTGGGGAACTTTTTAAATACTATTTTTTAAAAATATTTTAAAAACCTATTTTATAAACGATGCTTAAATTGTACAATATATTCATTTGTTTTCATGTAAATTAATTTGCATTTCTAAAGAAACTCCATATATATTTTTTTACTATTCATATTAAATAATTTCAGGTTTGCTCATTATAAAGAAAATGCATTTGGGGGAAAAGTTTGATCCTTTGTAATTTATTGTTATTATTCTAATATCAATACGGAGAATTCTTAAAACTAAAAATTCCCACCAGATATATTTTAGGGTGATAAGTGATAAATATTTACTAGATAATTTTAATCCATATAGATCAGTTGTTTTTAATCATTTTACATTTTCTCCAAAAGGACCATTATTTCAAAATATATTTATCTCAAACTCTTTACTTTGTCAATATTATCAATATTTTATGAGTCCTTATCCATTCAGATATTCATCAAAAATTTTTCAATATATTACTTCATATTACCAAAGGATATAAACCACCATCACTGTTTTTATTCTAAAAGCAATGATTTGAAGTATGAATTGATACTTAAGCACTTCTGCCTGCCATGCAACGTATATTTTAGAATAAGCCAAAAACTGAAAACTTCACAGACTGGAAATGTGTGCTGAGCATAAGCACTGATTACTTTCTCTTCAGGCATCAAATAAGATTGAAAAAGGTCAGGATGAATATTGATTTATGAGATTTTTATGTATCTCAGCTACGTTTATGATCGTGTTGTGTTATATATTTATGCCCAGGTTTTAAATGCAAACTTTTATTTATTAGAAAGCGTTCATTTCTATTTTATCATGTATCAAAATGGCCTGAGACACTCCATTTACCTACGTGGTGTATACCAGAGCATACTGTTTCTATCCCATCGCCCTCCTTGTTTTGAACAGGATTATTATGTGGTCATTTTGTGTCCTACTGAAATGGACGCGCAGGTTCGAAGGGTCCTGCAGATTCCAATGTGGTCACAACGTGTCATCTACCTTCAAGGTTCAGCCCTTAAGGATCAGGATCTGCTGAGAGCAAAGTAGGTCCCCCATTGCTTTCCATCATGCAGTGCTTCATGTCATTTCTCATTTCTAAATGGTAGCAACGTTCAGTGTTGCAAGATATGTTAGGCTATTTTTGAATAGGGTTCTGCCTTTGTCCCAGTGCTGGTCAAACTGAAAGATTTAAAACTATAAAATCAGTGTGTGTGCTTCTCTTTCTCAGTGCAGAGATGGAAAGCAGGCCATGTCCACACAGCACGGTGAGAGGGGTGGCCTGGCATAACCATCTCAAGCAGTCAGAGATGAGCTGAGCTCTCCAGAGTCACCCTCCAGTGCTCTTCAAATCTCTGAATACTGGGTTTCTTCCACAGATAAAATTCTTGGGCTAAACATGTAAAATGCCAAAGCACTTTGAGTCAGGGTTTACATTTTAAAGAGTCTGGGTTATGCACTGGGCGAAGCTGGACAGGGAAGAAGGCTGATAGAGAATAATGGTCCATTTGCAACATGGTGTTGGGGAGAGCTCTGTGGAGACCCTGGGCTGCCAGGAAGACGAACAAGTGGGTCCTGGAGCAAATTAAGTCTGAACATCATGGAGGCAAAATGCCAAAGCTGCAGTTGTGCTACTTCGGGACATCAGGAGAGGGCAGGGTTCTCTGGAAAAGACAAGAGTGCTGGGAAAACAGGAGGCAGCAGGAAAAGAGGAGACCAACTAGGAGATGGACGGACTCCATCAAAGAGGCCACAGGCTGAGTCTCCAGGAGCTGAGCAGGGCTGTGAGGACAGGACACTGGGGACGTCACTCATTCATGGGGTCTTCATCGTCAGAGCCGACTCAATGGCATGACACATGACACACACACAAACACACACACACACACACACACACACACGACAGATAACACCTGTGGGGCCTGGGGGCTGAAGGAATCAGAAAGGTGACAGGTTCTACTTAGTTGCTCTCTTCCTGTTGCACTGTGCCAGACAAATGGTCTTAAACATTTGTCACACGTCATGGGGGTTATTCCACACGAGCAGAGTGAGAGCATGGCTGGGAGGCCATGGATACCTAGGAGTCAGGGCATCTGCAAAATAGCACCTGTACTTCAGAAGCCAAAAGAGATTCTTAGCAGAGGTGGTTTTGCTCGATGTTTTCTGTTGATTTCAAAATTTTAGATGTATTTTCATATTTATCCTTGACTTGTAAGGATGTATGTATAACAAAACAGACAAGAGTTAAGTTTCTACGGCATCTCATCAACATTGTAAATAAATGACATTGAACGAAATGATGTTACTCAAGGACCTACTGTATATGAAAAAACATATCACCATTAAAGAGAATAAATTTGATTTTGTTTTTACTTCTGTCATTATAAACTGTTGAGTTCTAGAGGCAATTCAAAAATTATTTTGTTCACAGTCAAATACAGCCATGATCTCCTAGAAACCCAATTTGCACTTAAGCTTAAGGACCTCAGAGTTTACATGTAGTTTGTGTGCACGAAACTAAACATGGAAATTCTACTTTTCAGATAACGCATAGGTATTTCAGTGAGATTGTTTTGTTTTTCTGTCTGCATCTAGAATGGACGACGCTGAGGCCTGTTTTATTCTGAGCAGTCGTTGTGAAGTGGACAGGACATCCTCTGTAAGTGTCTAAAATCTTTTGCAGTCATTTTTTCTTACCACCTTAGAAGATTATAAAAATATTTATTATTTTTAATCTGCTAACATTAAATATTGGTGGCCTTAAAATTTTCCTAAAGAGAAGCAAATATCTGCAAACTATCTTTGCCGTAATACAAGACTAGTTGGATCACTGACAATGTCAACAAGAGCATTTTTGAAGCAGTTTCTACTAATCCTTGGGTTTTCTGTTGATTAAAATGAAATGAGTCCTACAGAGACAAACTAGACCATTTCCTCAACTCAGAAACAAGGCAGATGGATCAGGCAGCCTGCATTAGAATCAGCTGTTCTAAAACAACAGGCATTCGTGAAAATTCTATTCAGGATATATGGGGTGGGGATTGGAAATCTGTGTATTTTAAAAAGATCCCCAAATGATTTTGAAGCACATCCCAATTTGGTAACTTTTGGGGTATGTGATCTCTATGATGTATTTTTCTAGACCTAAAGTTCTATAAATGTATAATCAATTAAGTAGTAATTTATCATATTATAATTCCTATTTTTCAAATGCATGTTAATATTATAATTTTAAAGAAGGGCATTATTAATTTTATGTCGAGTAGGTACTGTTAACTCCTGTGTTTCTGAGCCAGCGAGTCCATCTCTAGCCAGGTCTCTGGTGCAGACAATTAAGAAGCTTGGTGGCTTCTGTAGTGACAGGGTAAGGGGCAAAATATGCATGGGTCTTTCAGTAACATGGCTTGCTCTTTCTGAAGCATCTGACAGGCATTCCTGTCACATTAGTTTAGGACTGACTCTAACTCCTGTGTTGTCCTCACTCTAATTTACCTGAACTTCCTATGCATCATGCCTTATATTTCTATCATTAAACTTATGTCATTGTCAACCTTTCACCCCTCAACTGGTCACTTTGTTTTAAAAATACTTGCAGTCCTCCAGCGTCTAAGATTTTGAGTTACTGAGTAAGCATTAAGAAGTAAACACATAACATCTTTTAGAGGACCCTTTGTAATGTGACTGTGGGAGCTTTCAGGTAACCCATGCATTCCCTCTCCTCCTGACACTCTACTAAATTGACAGGAAATAAATAAAAAGATTTCGCTCATAAGGACAAAAGAGGTGGTGGATGAGAACACTAATGCGAGTTTGAAAGCTCGAAAGCAGATGGATGAGTGGTAACTGACTTAACAGACAGAAGGAAATGAAAATTTAAGTTGATAGGAAACAAATCAGGAAAGACTGCTTTTTGCCATCGAACCTCAAAAGTCTCAGGAATTAGAGGCACCAGATGTCTCTGCAAGTAGGGTTATATGTAGGACTAAACATATGGATAGGGATTAAAAGTCTGTAACAGAAGCAAGGAGATTTTTTGAACCCCTCCACAAACCCATTGCCAGCCACTTGCCCCACCCCGGGAAAGGGGTTTACTGTTTGGAGAATTTGACCCAGGAATGTCCTTCACTTAGAACCACTAGGTACAGCTGAGCACTTGGGGAAAAGCACGGGGTTTAAGAGCAACCTGCCTCACTGAATGTGACGTTTCTCCCAAATGACTCAAACCCTAGCAGCCTAATCCACTGTTACAAAAATGGAGGAATTTTCTCTGGGGAAATGCTCTATCACAACACACACACACACACACACACACACACACACACACACACANACACACACACACACACACACACACACACACACACACACAATGAGAGACAGATGGATGGATGGATGGATAATTTCTGGAATTCCCCAGTATAACATCAAGGACTGATCACCCGACAGCAAAATCCATGTGAAAATAAGGTCTTCACATTCACGACGGTCTCAAATCCCTTTTGAGAGCTTCACTCCTACATATGTCTGGACCACGGGGATCACTAGACATTTAAGAAAATTCCTTACAAGGCATAAATGAACAAACAAATAAAAAGCAGACAGAAAAGAGGAACTTTGAGGAAATCCAAACAGAACCCTACAATTCTGGCATTGTCAGAGTTTAGGGGGTCTTGGACAGAGGGGCACGAAGAAGGACATGGGTCCTGGCAATTCAATGGCGTGCTGGGTCTTGACAGACGGGAAGGAGAAAGAAGGAAAATCAACGGTGTGCGTGGCACGAAGTGTACAGCGCATCTGCTGCTTTGGCCAAGACCGGATTGCGTGTCAACTGCTGTATATTTGTGTGGACAAGGTCTCGCAGAAGTATCTACAGTCCTTGGGGAAACAGAAGGACTTGATTACAAAATATTGGGTTGTCAGAAAAGTCATGACGTATTTTTTTCTCTGTTTTTCGTTGCAAAAATGCGTCATGACTTTTCCGACAACCCAATAGGATGACAGACTATTCCTAGCGGGCTCATATCTGGACACAAGCAGGCTACCATTGGTTTTTTTTTAAGCCATCTTTCTCCATATGTGGGCACAATGATCCAACTAAAGAAGATGTTTTTAGAGAAGAAAATATAGAACCCGGGAAAATGCTGCACTGTGCTAATTAGCTGTCTGTGTTAGTAGGGAAGATACCACATCGCTCATGTTAGCTTTTCCGTATCAGGAAGGGTCTGGCTCGGTGGTTGCTGCAAACAGTTTGCTTCAATAGTCCCCAAAATCCACTCTCCCCTCCTCCCCGCAGTGCTTGGCTTAAATCTATCAGGGGATTATATCCAAAATGATATTAAATGAATGTGACTCTGCTCTTTCATTCTTTCGTCAAAGGGTAATAAACACATCATTTTTTATCTTACAAAAAAATCTAGGCCATCTTGTTTTGTTTACATCTTTTTGTAATGACTATGAGGGCTTGGTCCAGACCAACTATTTCAGTTGCTTCTTTCCAAGTAAGTTGTTAGTTTGCGGAGGTGATCAAATGAAGAGCATAAATAATTCCTCCTTTGTGATTATCCAGTCCTGCCACAATTCAATCATTTCACATGCATGAAACCTTTCTTGTATCTTCATTTGGAGGAAAACAAACTGTTTAGAATTTTACCCTTAGAAGATTGAGTCCCTATTACTGTCATTTCCACTGGCTTTCAGGAGACAAGTATGTGGGTGTCTCAGGGGGGCCGGGGGCCTCAGAATCATGTATTCTTATCCCATGTGGCTAAGAGCTGTCTGGTCCCCCTAATTTTAATCAAGCTCACTCATGCAGATGATTGAATCACATGGAAAAATTACAGAGGACTCTTGGGAAACTCCTCCATCCTAAAGGTATTAGCAGTCAGTCCTTCCCAGGCTACATACTCTTCAACTTGGGCTGAAAAACAGTGTTGAAACCACTGTCACCCAGTGAGATGCAACACGTACATTCATTTTTTTTCCCAACACAATTCAGGAGCAAAACAAAAAGCGACCAAAAATATAAGCTCGGTTACAAACACTTAGAATTTTGTGGCTACGTGCACACCGCTCCCCGAAGACCCAGTGATCACTTTGGCTAGACTTTCTTTTTCGTTTCTGTGCTGCTTCCTGCCACCACCCGAAGTTTCAAAATCAGCTGTACATTAGAGGAATCTGTGACTATTCACAGCATCTTTTCTGATAGCTACACTTCTGTATTAATTACATTTGCTTTGTACATGTACTATTTTATCATATGTCGACCTATTATTGACATTTTCATATCAAGTTTACATGTCTTCATTCATTTCGCTGCGAATTTCCATGAGGCTGATTGACGTAATTCTTCGGGCCTGCCTTAGACCTGAACATAGTATTTCACACACGAAGTGCCCTTGTATAACACGATCACCATTTGTAACCGTTCATTTGCTCCGTAAATATTGACGGAGCGTTCTATACGGTCCACGCACGGATGTACCAGCTGCAGATAACATTTATGAACCAGCCATACCAATGTCTGTGTTCACGTGGAGCTGACCTCCTAGTAGCAGTGACACTTGATGATGCGCTAATTACAGAAGGAAAGGAATGGGATGTTAGACTGTGATGAGTGTTGGGAGAGAACAGCGGGAGGCAGGCATATGAATGGTAGGGAAGGTGGACCTTTTAGATTGAATTAGTAGTTTAAAACTTTGAAAGATCGACTTAAAATATAATGATGAAGCTCATGAATTATTAAGATAGAGAATACATCACACAACACCACGTACTTATTTCATTAGAATATTTTTTAAGGTACCCAGTACTTTAAACTTCTTTTCACCCCTCAAGTAATATTCATTCTTCTCCTCTTTCTTATTGAAAAAAAACACTTAGTATGTCAACTCTGAGGACCTGAGACCCTCTCACTCCCATATACAGTCCATCCCTAAGGCGAAGCCTGTTTTTTCCAGGAACACCGGCCCCCCTCCCCCCAGCAGAGACCCTTTTTGTTATTTTACTTGTTTGCCCTATTTTGTTCCGTTATCAATGGGGCTTCTCTCCTTCATGTTTTCCCCTTCTCCGCCAGGCCAAGTCCAATGTGGCTTTGAATTAGCAACATGTGGCTTTGAACACTTGACATGTGGCTAATGTGAGCTGAATTCATAACTTAAAATACTTTATTTAATTTAAGCAGCCACATGTAGCTAGTGGCTACTCTATGGACAGTGCCACTTTAGAACATCCTTTTGCTTCCTTTTTCAAAAAATGCGTTAGCTAACTGAGTGGCATATTTCTCTAGTAAATTGCTTTGATTTATTCATTTAATTAGAGAATAGTACTTGCATATGGGGTGACACTATGTAAAATTTCACGCTAATCATGATTTTTCACTCCCCTTCTCAGTCTTAGCGCCCTATTTTTTAACATTTTTGTTTTTTTAAAAAATATATCTCAGCGTTATTGAGCTCTTCCAACACACACCCACAGTCAAAACCCTTTTACCTTTACTGTTATATAAAAAAAGTAAAATCCTGGCCTTTCCATATGTGTGGTCACTGCAGTCATTCCTCTTTTACCAATCTTCCTAAATATGTTAAAATTATTATAAGCCCACATCATTTTCCATGGAAACCATTATTACAAACCCTCATCTGTGCTGCATTTCTGAAGGCTCTGGCCCTCCAGTGTTTTCTGCGAAAATTATTTTTAAGCTTGTCAAGAGACTCCCCTCTTAATCTCTGCCAGTTTTCTAAGTGCTGGTATTAGCACTGATTAAATAAGTATTGCTACTCTCTCTTATAGAAATAATGAAGATCTTTAAAAATAAGTCCTCAACACTGACCTATTTTGTAAGTTTAATTTTAAACTATGGATGGGACAATTTAACACACTCACCGTTTGATGAGTTTTGCTTTTCATACATTCATGCATTACTTAATGACGGAACACGTTCTGAGAAATGTGCAGTTAGGTGATTTCATGATTGTGCCAACATATTAGAGGCACCTCCACAAGCCTAGATGGTCCAGCCTACCCCATACTTGGGCCAAATAGTACAGCCTGTGCTCCTGGGCTGCAAACCTGCACAGTAGTTCCTGTACTGAATACTGTAGGCAACTGTAACACAATGGTATTTATGTATCTAAACATAGAAAAGGTACAATAAAAATACAGTATGAAAGATAGAAAACGGAACACCTGTACAGGGCTCTGAGCACGAACGGAGCCCGCAGGACCGGTGGGTGGAGAGTGGAGATGAAGGCTGGCACGTGACCGTCCACCACTGGAGGCCTTACAGACACTACACACTTAGGCTGCACTGAATTTATTAAAAACGTTTTCCTTTTTTCAATAATAAATTAAACCTTAGCTTACTCTAGTTTTTTTACTTTATTTACTTATTTTTTAAAGATTTTATTAGGGAATTGGGGGAAGGGGAACAGACAACTTGCTGTCCTTTTGTTCTTCAGTCTAGTTGTGGAGGACGTTGCTTCACTGGCCCAAGTTGGCACCATCATTGTGCTCTTCCTGGGCGAGGCAGATCAGTCGCCGGCTTCTGGACAGCCGTTCACAGAGGCTGCTGGCCGCTCACGCTGGCTGCTGGCTACACACGGTAGCCCATGGCAACCCACTGCCACAGGGGCTGCAGCCTACGCCGTCGCCGGCAACTCAAGGCAGCCCAGATCCAGGTTGAGCTGTTGTTCAGCATCTTAGCTGTAGAGGGCAGTGTCACTGGCCCTCATATGTGGGATCCGAACCGGGGCCCTCTGGCGTCCCAAGCCAGCTCTTAACCAATGCGCCACTCGGCTGGCCCCAAGTTTTTTTACTTTATAAACGTAAAAAAAATGTTTACTCTTTTATAAGAACACTTAGTTTAAAATCAAACACATTGTACAGTTACACAAAAATATTTTCTTGTATCCCTATTCTATAAACTTTTTTCTATTTTACAAATTTCGTATTTTTTACTTAAAATTTTTTTTGCTTAAAAATTGAGACACAAACACACACACTGGTCGAGGCCCACACGGGGTGAGGACCATCAGTGTCACTGTCTCCACCTCCAACTCTTCTCCTATGGGAAGGTCTTTGGGACAATGACATGCATTGGAGGTGTTCTTGTCCTGTGACGACACTGCCTTCTGCTGGAACCCCTCCTGAAGGGCCTGCCTGGGGCTCTTCCTGAGGACTCACCCTTTTCAGAAATATATCCATGGTGGTTTGCTTGGTTTCTTTTTTTTTTTCATGATAGATTTGCTTATAAGCAGAGAATGCACCATGAATATCTCTCTATTAATGAAAATCTTTCAGGGCTGGGTCCATGTTTTCCAACGTTATAAGGAGCTTGCTGAGGTCTGCAGAAGCTTCTGCTAAATCCTGTGCATTTTCTTGGGGGGGGGGAGGGTTCTTTTTTTTCTTCTGCAGTTTCCTTTTCTCTGGCCCCTCCTTCAGCTGTGCATTCCTGTTCCACTTCCAACAACTCATTAGTCATCTCAGGAACCACCCCTAGGAGCTGCCCAATGTCGTCCTCATCCACAGCCAGGTTCAAGTTGTCTGCCGTCTCCACCACAGCCCTGGTGATTTTTGCAACCTTTGCACAATGGCGCTATGATGCCTACAATGTCACTGGGTGATAGGAAATTTTCAGCTCCATTATAATCGGGACCACCGTCATATGTGTGGCCTGCTGTTGACCGAAATATTGTTATGCGGCACATGGCTGTATTATACATTTTCCCACTTATTTCATGATGTTTTGATTTTTATCATTGCAGGACCACCAAACAATTCTGAGAGCATGGGCTGTAAAAGATTTTGCTCCAAATTGCCCTTTGTATGTGCAGATATTAAAGCCTGAAAATAAATTCCATATCAAATTTGCTGGTAAGTTCAGTCTTGAATCAAATCCTTTGCATTTTCTCCAACTCCCACTGTGACTGTAAGAGCGCCATCTATGAAGTTAGTGGCAATTTATAGTCCTGTTCCTTAGGACAGGACGTTTCCTTTTTATCGTCTACTCATCATGAGGATTTATTCGCTTCACAATGTGACAAGTTAATGTTTTGGGATGAATCTTTACTTCTTTATGTAACTGGGTGATTTTAGCAACTGAAGGTACTGGGTAACTTATTAGGCCTAAATAGATTAGCAGTGGTAGTTTTGTGCACAATACAGGCACAGGTGTCAAATGTTGTATCTATTAATTTATACTTACATTTATACATAGATCGATAATACTTTGCTATAGATTAATACACAAATTTAGCATACAATGGAGTCATATAATACAGTATATTCAAGTATATTTAAATAGATTTAATTTGGGGGTAGGTTTTGAAAACCATTCTAGAGAAAGACACCTATGGGTTTTTCAATGGGGGCACTGCTTTTAAAATAATTATTCACATCAGATTATATTTTAAACTGTTAGGAACTTGAACATTAAATGGTATTTTACTTTTTACTTGAATGCTTCTGTAGGATCTAATTTTGATTCAGGCAATAATTTATCTACATTTTTTCCTGAAATATAACAGCCTTGTTTTTCTATATTATATTTCACCTGAATAGTCTAAAGCTTCAAAAGTCATTAAAATGTAAATCATTTTAACTATGTGTTAGCAAAATGTATTTTTTTCAGAAAATGTGTTCATATATCTTAAAATGTTCACCTTATGTGATATTTGAATGAGAAATTATAAACACTAAGATACTTTTAATGATAATAAGAAAATCATGAAATTATTGCTATTCAGTTTGCTCTGTCTTTTATCTTTGTGACTAATGACATCATTTTTTTCTATAAATGTGTAGCATCCAACTTAAATCAATGGCTCTCAACTTAGACTGCATTTTAGTATCTCTTTGGAAGATTTTTCTTATAAAGTACTAACTTAGGAGATTCTGATTTAAATCCTTAGAGCTGGTGCCAAGCTTCCATTTAAGCCTATTTCCTATCTTGAAAATCAAAAATAATAGATGATTTTGTGAAATTAAAGTACTCCATCTATTGCCTGTTATACATATAATTAGCATTCAGGAAATGCCAATATTTTTTAATCTAAAAAACCTTTGTAACTAAGCTGCCTTATTTTCATTATTATTTGACACAAGGAATATTTTTGCAAAATTTTCATCAGATTTGTTAATGACCTGCTCTGCTAAGATTTTTAGGAAGGCTAAGTCCTAATTATATGAATTTAGATTTCGCTGTCACCAGCTAAGATTTAACCTGGCAAAATAGTATTCTGAGCTGTATTTTCCTCTCCTGTTAAATGGCCATATAGATGATGTCTCTATCCTATTGGTCAGCATTAGCAGTAAGGGATAAACAAATAATGTCTGAAATATATTAGGTATTCAATAAATGGATATTGAATGTGGATCTTAAAACAATATGGAGATTGGGAAGACAATGTGTAATTCTGAATGTGTTATCGCTAAGATTCGTAACAGACTCCAGTTCCTTTGCCAGTCCCTGTAGCCATCCATTGATATACTCACAGCAGGCAGACCAAATGCACAGAAAGAGTCTAACTTTACAAACAAAAAGATTACAAAGACTATTTGCATTGAATCTTTTTCACATTCTTCTTTTGCCATTATTTTTTATCAACTCGTTGAAATGAATGGGGTATTTTAAAATTCTATCTCAGTATTTTATATCAGCATTTCTCATTTATGGCATCTGCTGAAATTTCTTTTAATAAAGTCTATTCTTGTATGGCTGAGGTTACAGCATCTCAGAGGAGCTCTTTTCATATTGTGAAAAAATGAAAGCACGCCAGTTTCACTGAAATGCCATGAAAACAGTTTAAGGTGATGGATGAGACTCTCAAGCCAATATAATATATTTATATCTCAGCATGAGGTTAAACAGATTATGGACTTTACCTTTCAAAAGGCAGTGAGTGTATCAAGCTGCCACTTAGGTCGTGTGGTAGATTTTTAACATAATGGTCTCCAGTGAGCCGTGCTCCCCGTGTGTGTGTGTGTGTGTGTGTGTGTGTGTGTGTGTGTGTGTGTGTGTCTCCCAGGGCGATGTGGCTTTGCAGCTTACTTCCTGAAGAGGTGGGATCTATTTCCCCGCTCCTTGAATATGGGTTGTCTTGTGACTGGCTTTGCCCACAGGATGTGAACACGTTCCATTGGAACATTCCCATGGAAAGGGAGACTCCTCCATCCCAGCCACCCCACCTCTCTAGCTCCCAACCCAAGCAATCATGGTCCCAAGAACCTAAGGACCCACAGGATTTCGAGAAGTAAAATGGTTAAATCACTAAGTTTTGGAGTAATTTGTGATGCAGCGATAGATAACTAATATTGTTTGTAATTGTATTATGAGTCGGTCCTTGTATACTCATGAGTATTAAATAGCATGGTTCTAATTATCATAAGATATAAAATGTTTTTATTTCCATGTATTTAAACTTCAAAATTTGACCTATTAGAAAGTAAAAACAATGCAGCACCTAGCAACTATCAGTCTATGGAGATCTACAATTCATACCCAATAAGGATCCTTTTCTCCTGAACAAAATGACTGTAGGCATTCATTAAATTATTGAATCATTACAGTATTATTTGAATGAATGATTGTATGAATTATTATGCTATTAATTATAATTAAAATAATCACCTATACTTTGATCAAATTCACAGGGGAAAAAAGTCCATATGGACATGATTCCAGCAATAGAAAGTATATGTTCCTACTCCTCTCACCAAGGTAAAAATAGTAAGCTTAGAGACAGACAGAAAGAACAAACTCTCCAGTAGAATAATAGTTATGAGAAGAGATTCCTGAATATTAACCTAAGCATATTACAAATTATAGTGAGTTTCAAGTCATGTAAAAATATACTTCACAGATAATTTGATTACTTTTTATCACCACAAATTTTTAGAAGAAAATAAGCTCAAATTGGCTCATAGAAAAACAAAGTATAGTTTCAGCAATTTGTCCTTTGTATAATAAATTTGCCAAAGTAGAGATTAATATTGCAAGTTCTAGAATGAGATCATCAGCCAAATCTCTGTTTTACTATATATTAACTGCATGACCTCAGACTTCTTAATCTCTTAAGCTTGAGTTCTTCAACATGTAAAATAAAGATAATAAGAGAAATGATGCCATACGGTTGTTATGATTAAAAAAAATACTCACAAGAACATCAGCCACTAGTGGTTGCTACCAATCAAATTGAAAATTATCATGAAACTTGAGGGCCTATTTTTTATCTTCTTAACAAATATGCATGATCTTTGTCTCCAGGAAAAGTAACTGAGGAATGTCTGTGATGTTTTAAAAAGAGCTTATTACAGACATTTAAAAAGCAAATAATTCTTAGCTTGCCCATATTTTCCAGAGAATAGAAAGTTGTCTCCCAAACTCATTTTAGTAGGCTAACTTAGCCTCGATGCAAAACTCATTAAGAATAGTATGAACAATGATAACTGGGGATCAATTTAACTGATTAACATAGTTTTAAAAATCACAGATTAGCAAAAAGAACAAAGTAATGTATTTAAAAATAACATGTCATGAAGCTGAAATTGTCCCCAAAATAGAAAATCACGTTCAAGGAAAAAATATAATTAATTCAATGCATACAAAAAAAAAAAGCACATTTGAGAGAGGGAATTTAGTATCTATTCTCAATTAAAGAAAAAGAAAAAGCACTGGAAAACTACAAGTGAGAATTTCTTAACCTAAGGCAAGTTATGTATACAATAACCTGGAGGAAAAAGGGTATTTAACGATCACATACTGAAAGTCTACCTTTAAGATTAGGGACAAACAAGGATCCTACCGAAGCCACTTGTACTCAACATTTCCTTGGGAACCCTAAGGAGTGCAGGAAGGCCACAAAAATAAATAAAAGGGATAAGCATTAGAATGTCAGAAACAAAATTGCCAATGTCCACAAATCATAAGATTCTCTACAAAAAAAATTGAAAATAATTTTCTGTTCTCCCTGTATACCTTTTCCTTAGGGGAGCTCATCCGCTTATCTGATTTCCAAAATTAAATCTCTTCCTCAGTATAACCATGAACTCCAGTCTCATATCTCTAACTGCCTAGTCAATATCTCCTGTTAGACTTTCAATAGCTATCTCCAAATTAAGATATCTGGAAATACTTGACTTTCCTTAAGCTTAAATCTGTTTCTCCCCCATTTTTCCCAGCACCATCTACTTAGAACTCAAGCTAAGAACCCATGAGTCAGTGTCCCACCATTTGCTTCCAATCTGTCAAGTCCTGTAGGTTCCCTGCCCTGTATATCCCAGGTTTATCCATTGACCCAGCCCTAGTCCACGGCATGGTTGCGTTCATACCCAGCCTCAAAGCACACGCTTTGCCTTTCTTCCTGCGGATTCCCAGGTGTCTCCATACACTTCCTGTTGCTCTTCACATAGCCCAGCACAGTGACTGCCATCCCTGTGTGACAGTAGGCAGCACTGACACATCTTCAGACCTCCCAGACCAGCCTAAACGCACTTGTCTGTTTCCAATATAGCGATGCCAACGTTCTTTTACAATGTCATTATTTTGAAGCGAATTCTTTCTGTTGGCTTACTTTTGTCAACCTCTGTAGATCAGAAGTTGAATGGTAATACTATATGTGAAATCTCTTTTCTAGTGAGAAATAATTTTACCAATATCCTTATATTTTTAAAGATGTGGCAATTGGTACTGTGACACAGGAAGAGGTGATGGCAGTGTTCCATAGCTATAGCTAATATAAAAATGTGGTTTTATAGCATCTTGTGTTCTCTGTCAATCGCTTGTGGGACCAGCAATTCTCGGAAAGCCTTTTCAAGGTCAAATGTTCTATGGGAAATCGCCTGGAAAAACAAGTGGGTCTCTACATTGTTGGGCG